TCCGAGAACTAATCATTCTGATTGGTCGAGAGCCTTATAACCGATAACTCTTCCATCTCCTTCTAGTCGTCCCTTTAAACCAAATCGAGAGCGTTCCTTAACGAATCGGTACGTAACTTCTGGAGATCCTCCACAGCTGAGCACCACATCCTCAACTCGGGCAGGAGGTTCCTCTCCTGCCCTTAACCGTATCAAAACTACCTCCGCCCGCTCTACAGCCCTTTGCCCATCTCCAGCGGGGCGCCGGTATCTCACCCGGGCTTCTGCCGGTCCGTGGAGACGTCTCCGTCGGGTCGTCTCCTCTGCCGGGCAACTCGGAACGTCGAGCCTATCTCCCCGCGGCAGATTCGAGCACCTCGACCTCAACTAAACAATAACGAAATCTTACGAGAGCCTTGACATAACTGTACGAGTCAACCCGAGAGCGTAGCTTCTGAGCAGGGTGGCGACCCGAAGGGAACCAGAAATCGAGAACGTTATCTGTATCGGTAACCGGAGCTGCCTTGGGACTCTGATTCGAAAAATCACGTCACACAGTGTAATAAATTGCAATAAGTTTGATTGCTAATCTACGTGATTATCGCACTAGATGATACAGTCCTCGCATTTTTTTAGTCTTCTTCAGGATTGTTAGGGAGAAAATTTAAAAATTGACCTTTCCACATTACTGCGCATGCGCTTTAGTCGTTTGTCATAAAAAAATATAATATAATAATATAAAAAATTAGAATCTTATTTAATTTATTGAGCTTCGAATGCAACACAAAATTGATTTATGCCGACCACACTTCATTTTCTACTTATATAGCAGGTTAATATTTAAACAGGTCTGAGGGGAAGTGGCCTGTAATCACGAGGTTGTAATTCAATGTTATTGATAACAATTCATGATCGACTAACAAGTGTTAGGTATTTGTTGAAGAATGTAATCTATAAGTTAAAACCTCATCATGTTATCAGTATTTACGTAATATCATGTGTTTATAATTTGTTTTATCATTACAGAGCTGTGTATAGAGACGCTGATGTTTATTTACTCGATGATCCACTTTCCGCTGTTGATACGCATGTGGGGAAGCATCTATTTGATCAATGCATTAATGGATACTTACGTAGCAAGACCAGAATATTGGTTACGCATCAGGTTCAGTACTTAAAGGATGCAGACGTGATTGTCATACTAAATAACGTATGTGCATTTATAAATAAAAAATAGGAATGAATAATGGATCATGTAATTGTATAGTATTTTAATTGGCGTTTCTCATTGTAAAGGGCCAGATCGAAAATCAAGGTACGTTCGAAGAATTGCAAAAGAGCAGTGTGAATATTGCTAAACTTATCACTAGTGAAGATCAGGAGGAGAAACCAAGTGAAGTTTCTCTCCGTAAACGCTTGGTATCCGAAGTTTCCTATGCCTCAGCTGTGGATGACGAGGAGGACGAGGAAGAGCCTCAGGAAACCGAAGAGCTGATGGCCAAGGGTGAAATGTCCAAATCTGTTTACTGGAAATATATCAGAGCTGGGGCTTCGATTTTCGCTGTGATGCTATTCATTATGTTCCTCGTACTCGGACAGTTTGGTAGCAGTGGATCTGATTATTGGGTAGCGTATTGGTAAGTAAATTTTATATAACTTACTTCAATTGAACTTAATAATTTCATACTATCTGATTACGAAATGTATGACAAATATCTATTTGTAGGATAAGACAAGAAGAGCTAAAATTAATGTACAATACAGAATTCCTAAGAAATTTAAATGAATCCTCACTTAATTCTACAACAATAATACCGTCAATCTTATCAAGAGATAATATTGGAAATAATCTGTTTAATGACACTTTGGATATTATTAGTGCAATTTCTCCTTTTACGGAAAATATCACTGAAGAAAGTTTTAATTCTACAAAATCGTTGAACAATCTCGAAAGTGTTACCAGCCTTACCACGGAGTGGGCTGATGAATTGTCTACAATATTTAATGATGCCTCGGAAGGTTTACCGCTGCCAGAAAAACTCCAAAGTAACAATTCAGTACGTACTTCGATTGATAATATGAATGACAATTCATTGGAAATTTGTTAGATATTGCTAATTACTTTCATTATTTTTTTTTATTTTCATTAGACCAAGAAACCTATTGAGATTTCTTATATGGATACAAGCACTGCATTATGGATCTATGGAGCATTTGTTGCTCTAAGTTTCGTTGGAACTACCTTGAGAAATATTTTCTTCTACAGGATATGCATGAACGCTAGTAGAAATCTGCACGACTTGATGTTTTCGTGCATATTGAAAGCGCCCATGCATTTTTTTGATTCACATTCGTCTGGCCGAATACTTAATAGATTTTCAAAAGACATAGGAGCAGTGGATGAAATTCTGCCGTCGACAATAATAGAGTCCATACAAGTATTTGCTGTAATGACAGGAATTTTGCTCCAAGTGGTGATAATTAATTGGTGGGCGATATTCCCAATATCCGTTATGGGATTTTTCTATTGGAAGATCCGAACTATATATATGGCCACAGCTTGGAATATCAAGAGACTGGAAGGTGTGACAAAGAGTCCCGTCTTCTCTCACGTGAATTCCTCCATGTCAGGTTTAGCAACGATCAGAGCATCCAGAGTTCAGGAAATGGTGCTCAAGGATTTTGATGGATTCCAGGATGTTCATACTGGTGCTACCTACTTACTAATAGCTTCGAGTACAGCTTTTGGTTTCTGGCTGGATGTAGTGTCGAACGTGTTCGTTGCCGTCGTGACATATAGCTTCATCTTACTAGATACTGGAGATACCTTCGCCGGGAACGTCGGTCTGGCAATTTCCCAGGTTCTTATATTGTGTGGTATGCTGCAGCATGGTATGAGACAGAGTTCTGAGATGGTGAGTCAAATGACAAGTGTCGAGAGGATCCTGGAGTTTACCAAATTGGAGAAGGAAGGTCCGTTTGAAAGTCATCCTACGCACAAGCCACCGGCGACCTGGCCTTCCAAGGGTCAACTTAAATTCGAGCATCTATATCTACGTTACTCGGACACCGATGCTCCTGTACTGAAGGATCTCAATCTGATTGTCAGGCCGGCGATGAAAGTTGGTGTAGTTGGTAGAACTGGAGCTGGGAAGTCGTCGTTGATCTCGGCCTTGTTCCATTTAGGCAAATTGGACGGTGATATCTACCTGGACGAAGTGAGCGTAAAGAAAATTGGATTACACGATCTGCGCAGCAAGATCTCAATCATTCCGCAAGAGCCAGTGCTCTTCTCTGCTAGTTTGAGAGATAATTTGGATCCTTTTCATAAATTTGAGGATGCTGCGCTTTGGGATGCGCTGGAGGAAGTTGAGTTAAAAAATTCTGTTCCATCCTTGGATCACCAAGTTAATCACGGTGGCAGCAACTTCAGTGCTGGCCAGCGCCAGCTAGTCTGTCTTGCTCGTGCTATAGTGCGGAATAATAAAGTCCTGGTCCTTGATGAAGCGACAGCTAACGTCGACCCCACCACCGACGCTCTTATCCAAACTACTATCAGGAGGAAGTTCAAGAACTGTACAGTCCTTACCGTTGCCCACAGACTTAACACCATCATGGATAGTGATAAAGTGCTAGTTATGGATCAAGGTGAAGCTGTGGAATTTGGTCATCCTCATGAGTTACTTCAGAACGAGAATGGGTACTTCTCGAATATGGTCCGCGAGACGGGAACAGTTATGACAGAGCAATTAAAGAGAATTGCCAAAGAGGTATTGCCTTAAAATAATTTTTTTTTTCCTTTTCCTACGTAGCCTTTCAGAATAATATAACTCATTTTTAATTCCTCTTTATTTTCCAGGCATTCGAAAATATCCACGAGGAAGTAGTTGCTGTTCATCAAAGTAATGGCAATGTCAGTATACAGGAGACACTTCAATGATTCCTCATGAAATGCTAGAATGTGGACTTCGAACTCGTAAATATCAAAATTCAATAGATAATACCGTACGAGTTGGAACGTTGTACAATTAAGCTTAAGATATCGGTGCTATCAATAATCGATAATTTACAGGAAATCAGCATTCTTGTTTATTGATGAGTGATATAACGTTCATAGCCATGAATGATCAATAATAATTGTACTGAGGGAACGTTCCTACGTCGGGCTGATGCTAGTACTTTTTTATCTTGTTTAATTTCTTATTATACTGAATATCTTTATCAAAACTCTACTATTCCGCTTATGAACGTCCTTAAGCTCATCCGTACTTAACAGTTCCTTTTAAAATGTTGAAGGAAACAATTGCAGTTTAACATAAATTATGAATATTTATACGGGTTTTTTTTAGTAGAAATTATATCTATACAAATTCAATTGTAATGACAATATCCAGTTAAGACTTGAAACGCGCGAGTTTGTACTTTACGCTTTTTTTCTCTCTATGCAGTGTTATACACGAGTATTGCAGCAACTGAAGTTTACCATTCAATTTGATTTCTATGGAAGTATTATATTCAGATAGTGCAGTACTCTAAAACAATTTTGTATAAACATTCACAGTACATTGTACTTTAAACAAATAATAAGAGTTACCTAGATGAATTATGTTGGAGCTGATAAAACTTAATATACTTAAATTATATGCGCCCGAAAACCAGAACCAATATAGCATTAACGTTTATTACTCATCGAATTGGGTATGTGTATACTTAACTTTTGTGAAAGATGTGTAGTATAAGATGCCAAGAGTGTTTATGTATTACAGTAATCAAAGAAGTGAACGTGTTCTACACACTTTTTTGTATCTGTAGATGGCACTGTTCATATTGTAATATGTTCATACTGTTCATATGTAAAGCACCAAATGGCTTATTTACTTAATGTATTTTATTGAACTGATCGAACAAAAATTGCCTCAAACTGTATAATTTGTGAGATACAAGTTACACAGATATTTTTCTATAACATTATTTTATCTTACAGTAAGATGTGACATCTCTCAAAGAATAGATCAATGTGAGATGCGCAGAGCATAAGCCCCTCTTTTTCATAAGAAAATTATATTTTTACTAGGGCCTAAGCTTACAGATTGCGATCATTGTTGCGGTCGCGATGTAACATGTACAAACTGTTTCATAGAACAAATATTCAATAAAAAATTATTCACTCAAATATTCTGGGTTTTATATTTTACTATGATGAAATTTTTCTTATCTTAAATTACGAAATATTAAGGAACAATCAAATTAATTGAATGTCACCATTTTTTACTAAATCAGCCACTGCACTGTATTGTACAATGTGTTGCGAACCTTCTTCAAAGTCCACTTCCTCATCAACTGTTCCTGGCACTATGATTCCTGTTATCCTTTTATTAGCTCTGAGAAATACATGAGCATGTATATTTGGCTTGACGGTCATAGTTTCAATTTCAAATTTTTGTAAAACATTGGGCATGTGTTGCAGTGCCAAGGTTCTGAACAGAAGTTCTATACTACTTAAATAATCTTTAGCGAAACGCAATTCATCAGATGACAAGTACCCATCTTCACGACCACGCTGAGCTTCTTCTGTAAGGATATGCATTGCATACTGCTCAATCTTCTCCAGGCGGCATCTCAAATAGCTAGATATTATAAACCGTATCCTATTGATTTCCATCTGATGAATTAAGGATTTCATCGAGCCCTTTCCCAGACTTTTCATGTTATCTTCCATGTGAGATATTTGCTGTAGCATACATTCCACAGCATCTGATTGATGAGGCAAAATTTCTGGTGCAAATTTCTCATTCAACCAAGCATTCTCAATATCTTGCAAAACGCTCTGCGCCGTTACACCACCGTCCTCGTCGCTTTCTTCAAGAAATTCTGCATTCTCCTCAACAACCTCATCTACCTCTTCCATTTCTGTTCACAATTTCAGCAACACAACTTACTAACTACTACCATTTACTATTGTTCTTACAAATTCAAAGATACCTTCTTCACTGTCTGTAGGTTAGGGTATCATATGTTTTAAATGAACCGACATGTTTAAAAGGAATCCAGAAGGTCATCCATACCACCATTGTTATGCATTATTGAGATTCAAATAATAAAACAGAACTTCATGCTAGTTGATTATGATTTATACATCAATATTAAAAAAGTAATTCCAAAATCATATAACATACATTATGTAAGAAATGAATAAATATATATAACAGCATTGAAACATCATATATGACTTGCCCTTGATACCGAATAGACACTAGTAAAGAGAACTGCTAGTCTTATGCAGTCTTATGGCTAGTTCTGTCTAATAGCTACTGGGTACAGTGGGCATAGAAGATATGCATGGAACCAGCATATAATTTCTGGAGGGATTTGAAAAGCCATATATTTTGTTTAAAAAATAAAATGCACGTGGGGTGACCCTGTTTACCAATATCTCTTAAAAAAATGTTATACAAAAGGATCTACTATTTTGATAAAATCATCAAAAAATAAGCATATCGAGAGAGAAGAAGAGTTTGTAAATATTATAAGGAACTTCTATCACTATTTAAAATAATTACTCTTGTTATGCCCACGTAGGGTTTCTGTCTATAAGAGTGCAGGACTCCCAGGGTATTCCTCAATCCGTCGTAACTTAATAAGCACCGTCTTAAGACTGTTTGGAGACTTAGACACACGTTAAGTATATAGAGCACACGGCAGGCATGAGTACAAATGGGGCCTACAACTTGAGAGATCGGTGCATATTTAAACGGAACACTCGGACGACAACTCGAGCCGCATCCTGCAGTGGACCAAGTAGCTCCGGACGCCATCTCTTTCTCTTTCTTCCTAATCCTCTGCAAAATTTGACAATCCGCGGTGGCTACCCTTTCCCGTAACGCCAAAGTAACCGTTTACTTGGATTAGTTCGTTCCTGGACGATTTTCTCCAAGTAAATAATTTTTTAAAAAAGGTGAGAAACCATACACTTGGATTGTGACAAGAAATCAAGTGTCACATGAGGAATATTATTTGTATCGTATTCGAAAAAGTGTCATGTACGACACGATAATTTTGGTCTACAAAAATGTAAGAAAATAGACAGTAATTTGAAAAAAAAAATTTCTCATACCTTTTGTTGCTTTCTTACAGTCAAGCATGTCTGTGATGTCGGGACCAAGTTACTCTGCATATACCTGGACTGCCCAGGGTGGCGGTTTTGGTAACCAAACGGTGGTGGACAAAGTACCCCCGGAAATGCTCCACTTGGTTGATGCTCACTGGTATCAATTCCCACCGATGAATCCCCTATGGCACGCGATCCTTGGCTTCGTGATCGGGTGCCTGGGTGTGGTCTCCGTTATCGGCAATGGTATGGTTGTCTACATCTTCACCACGACTAAAAATCTCAGGACCCCTAGCAACCTCCTCGTGATCAATCTTGCCTTCTCGGACTTTCTCATGATGTTCTGCATGGCGCCACCCATGGTACGGTGCCACCTGATATAATAAAAATTATCTATTACTCGAAACATCTGATCTAGGGAAATATATTTTGACATTTCTACTTTTATATTACTCAGGTAATTAACTGCTACTACGAAACTTGGGTGTTCGGTCCACTGATGTGCGAAATATACGCAATGCTGGGGTCCCTGTATGGATGCAGTTCCATCTGGACAATGACAATGATCGCTTTCGACAGATACAACGTGATCGTCAAGGGGTTGGCCGGCAAACCGTTGACCATCAACGGAGCACTTCTCAGGATCCTGGGAATCTGGTTATTCGCTGTCATCTGGACGGTTGCTCCAATGATTGGATGGAACAGGTAAGACCGGGTGTCTGTAATTTAAAAGAAATAATTACGCTTCGAAATACACATACATATATATATATATCTCCCTTAGATATGTACCTGAAGGTAACATGACTGCCTGTGGTACTGACTACCTCAACAAGGACTGGTTCTCGCGATCGTACATCTTAGTGTACAGTGTCTTCGTCTACTATATGCCTCTGTTCCTCATCATCTACAGTTACTTCTTCATAATTCAGGCTGTTTCAGCTCACGAGAAGAACATGAGGGAGCAGGCCAAGAAAATGAACGTCGCCTCCCTAAGATCATCTGAGAACCAAAACACCAGTGCTGAATGCAAGCTGGCTAAGGTAAAACTTGAAAGACAAAAATGATTTATAAAAACATAATAAATTATAATTTTAATCAAATTTCACAGGTAGCCCTGATGACCATCTCTCTATGGTTCATGGCATGGACCCCATACCTGGTGATCAACTATGCTGGTGTCTTTGAGTCAGCCAAGATCACTCCACTCTTCACAATCTGGGGATCGCTCTTCGCCAAGGCCAACGCCGTATATAATCCCATCGTCTATGGCATCAGGTAAATCCTTTCTAACGACCCCAGACATTTTTACGATTATCACGTCTTTTTAATGTATGATCAATTATGTTTTAGTCATCCGAAATATCGTGCAGCTCTCTTCCAAAGATTCCCATATCTGGCTTGTGCCAGTGAGTCGGCTCCATCTGTCGATGCTACCTCAACGGTATCCGGCACAGCGACGCTCAGCGACAGCGAGAAATCTGCTGCTTAAACAGTCATAAAGTTGTAAACAAATGACAGGAACAAGAGAACTAAAAATCAGGCAACGCTAATGGAATTTCGCATGGAACCGACCTGGAGGACAGTAATGATAATGTCTGAGATAAAAAACATCTATAGAAGTTGTTATTCATACTTCCTACTGGAATACTCAAAATCCATCAGACTGTATATATAAAAAAAATCTTATGAAAAAAATCAATGAGGAAGATATAGTTATAATAACTATTTTGCGACGTGAATACAATTGATCTAGGTCGTTTCCAAGAACAAAGATTGAAACATCGCGTCAATTGGCTTATGGGAATCAGGATGGCGGGGGTCCGATAATTACAAAAGAATGACAAAACGCAACCGCGCCTCACGTATAGTTCTAATGATCGACTGAGTAGAGTTTGTCTACCCTTGATTTTATGATTCGATTCTCACCACAATTCGAATCGTTTACAATCGAACGATAGAACATATTCGCACGTTGATCATTCGTCCATGATACGAGGCCCTCGAACGGTTCTTAAAGGTTTCGCTATACGAGCGACAAAAACGCCATATCGTCGTTCTAACCTGGCGATTACGTCTAACTGTGTTTTATTTTGTAAGTCTTAATACACCATGCAAGCAAGTCACCCTGCCTATTTTATTGATCTTATTTTACACTAGGAAGCTACATACAAACTTCTCCTAGAACATACTCAATGAGCATGGTGATTTTAATTCATACTCATGAATATATTTAATGACCTTATTAATATGTATTTATATTAAGTTACTAACGCGGCTATGATTATTTGTAGGTTTCTTTAGGTGTTATCGGTGTCGAAGAAATATGATTGAAATTATTGTCTTGCTTCTAATCTCATGATTCAACAGTAAGATGAACTGGCTAAGCTTTTCCATCTGCTGTACCCGTCGAAGCTGTATCAGCATTTGCTGCAGCTGCTGTCGTGGAGGCAGCTGCAGATTCATTGGTTGAACCACATACTAGAAATGGGATCTTCTCCTTCAATGCTGCTCTGTATTTTGGGTGGCTGTGGTATAACATTTTGTAATTTGAGTTTATTGGACAAAAAATATTTTTCATATGGAGAGAAAAATTGTTTTACCTGATACCATATACAATTGGATTGTATGTGGCATTTGTTTTAGCGAACAGTGAACCCCATATTGTGAATAATGGACTAATTTGACCATTGAATATTCCCATGTAATTGATAACTAAATATGGCGTCCAAGCCATGAACCAAAGGGAAATTGTAGTTAGAGCCACCTAGAATAATAACAATTTATTTGAACTGATAGTTATATTAATTAAATATTGTAATCACCTTAGCTAACTTTGCTTCTGCACTAGCTGCTTGATTATCTCCTGAGCGTAATGATGCCACATTCATTTTTTTTGCCTGCTCTCTCATTCCTCTCTCATGGGCAGCAACAGTCTGTTTATGCCAATAAATAAATAACACAAGGTAATTACTAAATTAATCTTCTAATACATTAACTTAAGGATTTCTTGATTCGTATTACCGAAACGATAAAGTAGTAGCTGTAAATTATGGTAAATAATGGTGTGTAATATACAAAAATGGAGTAAACCAGAATATAAGATCTAGAAACCCAACTCTTGTTAAGATAATCCGTACCGCAGGACGTCATATTACCTTCAGGAACGTATCTAATAGAAAAAATTAAAGAATAGAAAGTTCATTATAGTAATTAGGATATTATTTTATTTTCTTACCTGTTCCATCCTACCATTGGTAAAATTGTCCAAACCAAGGCGAATGACCATATTAATAGAATTTGAAGCAAAGCTCGTTTAATGGTTAAGGGCGTTCCAGACATTCCCTAAATAAATATTTGTAATGATAGAACTAATTATTAATTGAAAAAACGTAAATGGTTACCGAAAATTTACCTTGACGATTACATTGTATCTATCCAGCGAAATAGCAGTCATTGTCCATATTGATGCACCGCCACATAAGGATCCAACCATTGCGTAGATATCACACATAAGAGGTCCTGGATGAAATGTTGAACTAATGAAACGAGTCATAGCTTTTAAGTAACATTGCAAAACATTGATTACCTAGAACCCAAGTCTCATAATAGCAATTGACGACCATGGGTGGTGACATAATTATCATCATTAAGAAATCCGAGAAGGCCAGATTAACGACGAGAAGATTACTCGGGGTCCTGAGAGATGGTGTCATCAAAAATACGTAGACAACAACCCCATTTCCACACCATCCTAATATCCCGATGACAATCATTACCAGTCCCAGAATCTTGTGCCATAAAGGATCCATTGGCGGGTATTGGTACCTGAAACACGTAATAAAATACAATACTAGAATATTGGTAATTAAGGATATAATATTGGTATATCTAATTTAATTTACCAATGTGAATCTATCAAGTGTATCATCTCAGGTGGAACTTTATCAACAACTGTTTGATTATTGTAACGCATCCACTGTCTTGCTGCCTGTGGTCCTATCGTAATTAATGTTTCTGAGATTATAGTGGCTACGGTGACGGTGGTTGAGTATTCATTACTAACTGTATGACTGTTATTAAAATTTTTGGAGATTAATTCCTTGGCCATCTCCATATCCTGTGGACATATACACATTCCTTCTGATCGTTTACCATGGTTCTTTGAGAAATAAAATTTTTTAATTATTTATTGTAATATTTGATACTTACTTATACACTCTTTAACACTTAGTGGGTTCACTTTTTCTAAAAAGATGGAAGTGGTTTCGATTTGAGAGACATTTAATTATTTACAGTGCCAAAAGTGATGCGAGTCAGCACAAGATTCTTGGACTGTCCCTTTCTTAAATAGGCATACGAAGAAGCCATTTATTAAAATATTCTAATCCCTAGTATCTAGAATATGTGACGCTTTTAACATTTTAGATCTACAAGGTGTATCGAGACACTTCAGCATCGACCAGCATAGCATGTATACTTCTTCGGAAGCTCAGTGAGACTTGTATATGCAAAAAAGGTATTGGATTTATCTGTTTCTAATGTCTCTACCCTATATATCGTTTAATGTAAGGTAGCTCTAAATGCACTGCTTGATCTAGATTCATATGTCAGTTATACTTTAATATAATCCATTTAATGGTATTCTGCATATGACTGTATAAAGCGTAAATCTTATTTATTTAATTAATTTAAGATCCAGTTTTGTACTAGATCATACACGTTATATTTGGAATTATGTTTGTTGATAGATATATAAAATGACACAAAGTTATTTTATAGTTCTTACGATTCTACGTATGTGCTGACTACGTCCTTCCTGCATAGCCATTTCTAATTCATGTGCAAGGTGAAGTAAATTTGTAGGATCAGTTTGTAATAGAACGTGCTCGATTTCATCGGGTGTCTCTGTATTCTTCAGCATAAAATCCAAAGTTATTAAAGGTGTTACTTGACTTAGAAGTGATCTCGAGGCAATCTAGAAATTTATAGTTATTTAAAAAAAATGAAACTAATCTCATCATTAACAATTATACATAATTTAAACTTACTTGAACGTCGAATCTCCATTCCATATTCTGATATTGTGGTAACTTTATACCAATATTTGTAAGTGCATCTGATACCTCTAACTTCTTTACTTCGTATAATTTTTTCAATAAAGTTTCCTTTTCGTCTGTAAAACCAAGTGCTACAATGGAGTCACGAAAATCCTCGTCACTCAGCTAGAATATTATAAAGATTTATGAATTTTTTCATAAAACCTAAGAGCATTACAAAATTTTGAAAAATATATGTTCTATAAACACCTTGTATTTGCAGCTCTCAATTATTAAATTCACAAGAGCTTCAACGGTATTCTTAATAACATCAGGCTCTACTTCCAGTTTTTCTAGAATAAAAGTAAAAACAAATATTCAAAACCCTTTTTAAACCATTAAATTGTATCACATAAAATACATACGGCCAGCAGCACTGTAATGCTTGAAATTAGGTCCCTTCTGCAGGTAATCAAGTGCCAATTTACAGAAATCCTGTAACACTAAAAAAGACAGACAATCATTAAAAAACCCAATCGAAAAGTAAATTCCATAAAAAATTAAACAATTCTTGTACCTTGAGGTGTTTGTTCAGCTAGAAACAATAGATGTTTCTTCTGGTCAACTCTCAGAGTAAGCAACATGATGTTCAATCACAAGTGCAATCTCACGTAATTATCTTTCTACAATGTCTAACAAAATAAATACAAAAAATCAACTTGAGAATAATACCTAATAAGTAAAACAATAATAAAGAATACTGACAGCTACCATTTCTCACCATTGAACACAGCTGATCGGCTCATCGTTCATTTACGCAACAATTCAAACAATTTGAAATATCGAAACGCGGAACTGAACCAAAATTAATATCTTACCGGCAGCCACGACAGTCATTGTTATTCAAAAGAAGGCGTACAAAAGGTATTGAAAAGGGCATTAAATCTGTAAAATATAGAACCACACGTTTCAATTACACTTTATTTCGAATATGTACACTGGTTCTTAAACATTCACATACAAAAAGACGCGTCTGCAAGATAACGATCTGAACCTCACGTAACATAAAATTCCGACCTAATTTTTATGCACTTATTTATTTTCACTCCATTCTCTATTTAGGATTCTGCAAAAAAAATCATTTGCAGAAAGAAAATTGCCAAGCTAAATGTCACACAATTCGGTAGAGGTACAACCAAATAATTCGTTTATCTCTACGCAGCTCTGAAAAATGGATGCAGAAGGTTTGTCAAAGTTACACGAATTTTTCAAAAGTTTTATTGAAATAAGTTCCATCCGCAAGAAGAGAATATTCAGTTAAGAAAATCTTAACACCGTTTTACAAGACGGTTATCAGTGTTTCCAATAGTTATCATTTTGAACCGTGGAGAGGGACGCGAATAACAGATTCTATTTGTCTCTTCGTTTCTTTTTTATATATCATTTGAATAATGGCACGAGGCTGGTTCACAGCTGGCAATCACGTACACGAGACAATAATCGTATTATTTATTTCTGCAATATATTAAATTAATATTAGATACAGCGTGCGGTAGTAATTCGAGGCCTTGGTATATACAGTTTTTTTTTTTCTTTCGCGTGATACATCATCATCACACGATATATCTTGCCAGTTAATATAATGAATATCATCTGTTTTCTCTCTTCTTTTCATCTTTGTTCAAATTTTAATTATTCTATAGATTTATCTTGTTTTATTTCTCTCTTTCACAGTCTGCTCATTGACACTTGCAGTATAGTAACGTATGAATTTGAAAATATTCTTTCCTAAAGATTTTCGAAGATCATTTGTATCACTCTCTGATGTAACCAGATTCTGCGTATGGTATGCATATATTTTCTTTATCTTTTTCCGAGTTCAATAAAGATAAATAAATCAAAAAGAAAAAAGAACGGACATTACCATGGAATACATTGCGCTACATTCTTTGATATTCAAGATCGGTTAATTCTTTCGAGTGCAGGTTGATGGATGAGGGAGGCGACATTCACGTTTGTTGCATAAAAGATGCAACTATACATACATGTATTACTTGGTAAGTTACTTCGTTCTCATCTTCTTCCTTAAATATTAAAATCTACCTGTTGCTTGGAGATTAGCAGTGTCAATGAATTAAAAAAAAAAAGAAAGAAAAAACAACTTCGCTCTACCGGCCAAGCCTAAACAAGACTTCAATAATGATTGGTCTTGCAGTAATAGAAGAATAAATTACAAAGTTTTTAATTGATTCCACCAATTAGTTATAATCGATTACAAAATTTCCCACAATGGCAATCGTCACCGTGAAATTAATTAATTGACCGGTTGGCGAAATTGTTTTTGTTTTTTTCCCTTCAATCTCAAACATAAGAAATTTGACTCTCTTTTTCTCTCTCCTTCAGAAATATTTAATATTTCGTTATCCTGAAAAAGATTTTAACGCATTTCAAAAGGCAGATCATCCCCCTACATCCAGCTCAGTATCCGTTACACGATACATTCCAATTTGTCATTGTAATCGATCATTGTCTTTTCATTTTTTGAAAATGTTTCTCCCTCTATGATAAAAAAGATGTATAGATTGATGGAATCCGATATCTCTCTAAATGTACTCAGGAAAATAGAAATATAGCGATCTTTTAGATTTATCAAATTCTAAGCAACCTAAGAGTGCATCGCAACACCATGAAGTGAAATCTGGTGTCCACCACTCATCTCCTCCTTCAGGAAGACATCAGCCAATCCCCAAACGTACATTGCCAGGTGTATGTATATAAAATTGATATTACAAAAAAAAAAGATAATCCAAAAAAAATAGCTAATGAGACGATTCATCAAGTTCAGCCCATCCGCCCGTCTCAATCGTCGATACGTCACTGATGATTGATTCCGGGTGAACACAAGGTTTCACAGTCATGGTGGATGCACACATTACTTTTTCTCTCTCTCTTTCTCCCTTTCCATCGACTTGATGAAGATGCTTCGTTTCATCTTCTTCATTTCGTTTATTTCATATTTTCGTTCTACCAGAAAGGCGCGCGTCTTTCCGTTCTGCACGAAAGCGAAAAATATTGATGTCGTCGTTAATTAATGATAAATCGCAATATGGAGAAACGATGAGAGTAAAATTGGTGGACGAACATCACGGAGAACAAGAAAAAAAAACAAGATCAAGCAAAAGTACGAGTTCAATCGGCGCAAACGAGTAGGCACAATTCGTTAAAAAATTAGTTTTTACGATAAAACGATCCGAAAGAAACAGAAAGTTCCAATTCGAGACTGAATAATAAATATTTAATCAAAATATATATGTGTAAAAAAGAGAGGCGAGGATAGATATAGTTAAAGTTGAAGGATATCTAACAATAATAATTGCGTTGGGGTTTTGGTTCGATAATAAAATCCTTATAAAGTCACGACGATAAAAGAGTGCTAGTTAACAATAATGACGTTAATAATTAATGGTAGTTAATGATGATGATAATGATTATGATGATGATGATGATGATGATGATGATAATAATAATAATATTGTAAAGGTGTCCGATAAACGGACGTTAACGCGCATTGAAGGTTACCACGGAAATGGGTTAATTACTTTCTTTCGGAGAGTCTAGTAATTATCCTATAACGATGATTATAAATATTAATGATTTAATTGTATACAGTTTCCATCGAGGCTTCCTCCCTGGTACGCCATGACACTTTCCATTCCGAGTTCACATGATTATCTTCTTTCAGTTTTCTTTTTCAACTTAACTTTCCCCCGGATCCGTCGAATCACTTAGATAATTTTCTTCTTCTTCGATTAATCCTTTATTTGTTTCTTTCATCTTTGTTTAGTGTATTATTTCTCTCTCTCTCTCTCTCTCTCTCTCTCTCTCTCTCTCTCTCTCTCTCTCTGTCTCTTTCTTTCTTGGTACGTTGGCTAAGTATTAATTACTTCTCTTTTTGTTTGTCCTATTCCTTTGTGCTTACGGTGTGCATAAGGAATTTATTTCGGTTCTACCGGTGCGTAAAACGGGCAGGTCAGACTGGAAGCTGGAGCTTTTCCTTTTCTCCATTACATCTCATTGATCTATGACCTTTTGGATTAGAGGCCACTGGAGATTGGAAGTACAAAACCAACCGTCGGACCTTCTAAGGTCCGGCTTATGGTTTTTATAATCTTTGGTCAGCCCAGAAATGCCGTTCCTCGCAGGACTAGCAGCTTGGAAGATCATCCTCGTCGGCCAGTTATACTAAGAGGCTCTCATTAATTATGTACTCTGATTTCATTAATCGATGAGATAAAAAATATTCAAAAACTTTTAAAACTGTCGCAGAGTGTCGAGAGCACCTTGAGAATCTAGCTCCTCGAGAGTCTAGGGGGGATCTGATTGACGTCTGGTAATCTAGTCGGAATCTTCTTCTATAGTCGGTGGAAGCATCGCCAGGTGCTGAGGACTAAGAATCCCCCGGGATAACGCGTACTCTGCCAGGGCACGATGACAGAACACATACTGATCTGGCATCTGGATGCTATAGGCTCTCTGAGCGCGTATTTTCTCAACAGTACCCCGAATGTCCACAGTACCTGTATCCTCTAGACGTGATATACAGATGTCCAGGGTGCAGAAGGTTCCTGAAAGAGACAGATCGTTCTTATGAAGATTTCCCGAATGAATCAGCATTATCGAATTTCTAATGAGCAGAAAATCTAACGTATTGAAATTTAAAATTAAACTTTACCTGTTCTACCGATACCCGCGCTGCAATGTACTACTATAGGAGGTCCCCGTGGATGTCCTGCCCAGGTGTCACCACGACTGGCCAGGAGTTTACTCTGTTGTTGTCTAACGAGAGCTAGGAATTCTAAAAGTGCCCTGGCTGATTGGGGTACACCATAATCGGGCCAGGCTGTATACAGCATGTGACAAACTTCCCTCGTTTCTTCAGTCTAGAGAAAATTGAAAAGATGCCATCGATAAGAAAATTCATACAAATAAAAAAAATCTCAAAATCAAGACTCCCTGAAGGATCTACCTTGTCGTTCTTGAGGAGGAGCATTGATATCGTGTAGTCCGGATTGGTATCTACTTCGAGGGTTGTTACAGTGAATCCACCTGCAGAAACTTCATCGCCTGGTTCAGGTCCCCAATACTGAGCACACTTCGTCCTACCCCTTTCTACCACCCTGAACAAAAAAAAAACCGTATTTATAGAATTCTTCCTTTCCACCTGACACCACTAACATTCAATGCCTACCTGGTGGTCATCACCACGACTAGAGTTTGTTGCTCCCATACCATTCTCCAAAAGTCTCCGCAAGTTTTGGGCAGAGGACCCTGGGTACTAATGAAGGCATTTTTTTGTTTATATCCATCGACAAAGTTAGCATTTATATAATCCGAAGTAGGCTCTGCGTCGACCTGAGAAAGGCATACCCTACTATGATCATAGCACAGAACATCGGTATATCTGTTCTTCGGTTGATTTGGTCGCAATCTGTTAAAAAGAATTTAAAAAGATTAAATTATCCGAAAAATTGAAATGCATTCTAAATACGTACTTTGCATTGTTAAAGGATCCATCGGGTGGCCTCTGCCTGATCTCTGTGTACTCCGCTACAAGACCAGCGCGTCCTCGACTGTGTATCGCTTCGACAAGCTGCTCCATACTGACAGCCTGTAAACCCAGGTCGCCATGGAGGCTGTCGTCGTCGCTGAATCCCGAACTGGCCGACGACGGAGGTTGGACCGGCGACGGAGCTTCGTCGCTTCCCATCCAGATGTCGCCGTTCGTTATCTCTATGTCGCCGATATTGCCCACACATTTCTTAGCCTTACTCTTATCGTTTACTGGACTGGTCGGATTACTGACAGCCGTCCCGTTAGGATTCTGAAGTACCGTGTGGTTTTTCGAAGTTGGTGAGAGAGGCGTTCCCACCGGGGGGGTAACCTAATAAGAATAATTAAAAACGTTACTCCCCACTCGAACACTTGGGAACAATAAAATAGTAACCACAGTATATGCTTCTACCTCACAGAGCTCACCCCCGCCGCGGTTAGTCATGGACTTAAGACAATGAAGGAGCCAGGCTTCATGCTGAACCTCCAAGGTGCCGCCCAGACGGCGTGGTAGAGATTCCCGTGGGATGTGAAGAGTCAACTGGGGAATGGAGACAGTGAATACACGATCCCTTAATTTCTCTCTGACGAAGAGTCTTAGGATTTTGAAGGGCGCCTTAAACCAGAGTGGTGCCGTCACGATGAGAACCTTCTTCAGCTTGGCCGGATAGCCACCCTAAAATCACATAAGGTTTTATTAATTCAATATAATATTTAGAAAAGCCCATTAATTAAGTATAAAGACGTATAAAAGCAAATGGCTTTCCGAATTTCCTAGAATCGCATCGAGCAGCTCCCGCAGGATGGAACGCGTCACCCAAACGAAATGACACGAGGAGGAGACTGCCACGGATATGGAGGAGGACACCAAGACTCGTGAGTGACATATTAAGTCACAGTGTGTACGAGCCTTTAACGGCAGCCGCTTCGTCATTAAAATTCTACGTACAGCCACGATGATAATGATAATAGCGATCGCCATAGTGGTAATAACAATGACTATTTCTTCGGTAGGCTCGAGGCTACTTACAGCGACCTTCGTTGGGTCTTTCGGCTCGCGAACCTCTCCAGTCCTGACGGTACCGAGGAAGAAAGCGAAATGAAAAGAAGAGAAGCAACAACGTTGAAGTGGAGTAGGGGAGAGAGACGACATAAAAACGTAAAGAAAAAATATATAATAATTCTCCGGGTAATCCGTGCAGGAGAGGACAGTACTAAAGCCAGCCACCGAAAGAAAACAAACTTTTACTTCGATGGTTGAAGTACGAAATTATACCGTAGAATTATTTATTCATCGATAAGAAGCCACGAGAGATACTAACTATGGAGAAGAGGAGAGTAAAGAGAATTGAAGAAAAAAAGAGAGAGAGGAAAAAAAAAGAAAAAGTATGTGCTCTCGTTTTCGTATAGCCGTGACCAACGGAAATTAATTCGTAAGTCGCGTGGGTAGCAGGCGAAGGAGGCGCCCACGCACCTCACGCACGTTTGACTTAACGTACGGCCTGAAAAAGGCCCACGCTTTCGCAAGTCCTACTTCGGGCGTCTCGCAACAGGGTATATTGGACGACGGTAATCGTATATACATTGAACCGTGCGAGAATAAAAAGAAAAAGTAAATAACTTTCCCGAAGAAGAATTAATCAATTGAAAAAGAGGGGGCGCACGTTAAAAATACATAATTGGAAGACCTAAAAGTCATAGAGTGATCCGCAGACGAACCTAGCATGAATAATGCCATTATCGTGTCAGCGTGGTGGACGAGTTACGCGAATGAAGCATGGTCAGAGGTGTCTTTCTCGACGCGACACGCGACCTTTAGTTCGTATGGACGTGGCATTAATAGAACTACACGTTAAAATTGTCACAAGAGAGGCCTGCGAGCGAAAGAGAGAAAGAGGGAGACAAACGGGGGAGAGGGTGAGAGAGAAAGAGAGAGAATACATCAGGAGGCAGTACAGTGCTTCAATGTACAGCAAAGCGTAGCCAGCAGTGCCACTCTGATATTGCGCCATTTTCCCATCGGGGCTAGTCGTGCGACCCTCCGAGGTTTAGGGGATGAACATTGTATGGGCGAAGGGACGGAAGAAGTGAGGTAAGGGTGCGTACGGATGAAAAGGGGATTTCACGTGCCTGCGAGACAGGCGTAATTCTATGGGGTGGAGAATCAAATACAGAGGAGGGTTAATAATACCAAACCAGATATATAAGGACGGTTGGTATAAGGGATGATTTATCTTTGTGCGTGGATACACGTACTAGGAGAGCCGTGTACTTTTACTGTTGTGAGGGGAAACGATGACGTAGGTTTTCGTTAAAGAAGAAGGAAACAGGAATACAAAGGACGGAAGAGGAATAGTATTCCCTGGATGTATAACGCTAGAGGGCGTAAGTCTCGCAATATCAGTGAGGTCACTGCATTCGAGGAAACTTATTCTTTAGTTTATCTGGCACAGATTCTTATATTCGTTTGATTCTTGAGAAACTGGACACCGTTTCTTTTTTTTTTTTTTTTTTAAATATTATCGTCAACGTCTTTACCAGGAAATACAGGGGAAGAATTCCTGACGAAGCAATGATGCGATATCCCTTTTATCGTCTTCGTGGGATCCTGTATCTTCTTCCTTCTGTCTCAGCTTCTTCTTGTTCAATGTCTTTAAGCGTTTGTAACTCCTGCATATGATTTTACAACGCCAGCGAACTCTCCCTCGGCAGAGTCGTCATCCAATCGATAGAGTCCTTTTAATATTCTTTTTAATTTTTCGTATTTTCGTAGAACACCTCGTCGCACCGGAAGCTCACACTCTCTCTATCTCTGTCAGCTACATATCTCTTCGATCAACTTATCGTGTAATCGCGATAAAACTACTCGCGAACGTTGACAATACGAGTGCGAGTTATACACTGAACTTATTTAACGTCCATTCCACGACCAGTCGGCTACGGCCGCCTGACGATCACTGACGGCTAGCCCGGCAAGCATGCGCAATATCTCTCATCCCCTGCGAGTATTTTTTTTATCCGCAAGGTGACCTCGTCTCATTGGACGTTACGATGGCTTGGGGCGTGGTCTACGAGGAATCCCTTAAGGCACTGATAACAGGTAACAGTGTGATGGAAAACTCTATGAGAAATTTCATGCTCACCCTTATATAACAGAATGCAATACCGTATTCTAAAGGTAATCATGTGGATATCCATCGAGGAGCTTACTAGGTTAAAAAAAAGTTTTATACGCAAGAACGGTATGCATGCACGAGGAGGATAGTTAAAGACTCGATTCTTGGACGTGAAGATTATTCTTTTAATGATACATGCAACTTTGCGATATGGGAGAATAGAGATTTTTGAAAAAGGGAGATACGAGAAAGTTTGATAATGACGTATATAAAATATAATACTAGTACGGAAGTGGAACTTGGCTTCCTGCCCAATGATTGCACCACCGTTCACGTAACCCACAGGATACATGGAACATAATGTCGATTCTAGATCCAGAAAATAAAATAAGGATAAGGATCTTTTATACGTCGAATGTTATATATATGAAGTCTTTTATAATGTCATGTAATTACCAACTTTACCTGGACTATATCTGATAGTTCGGTGGTCGATCAAAGACCGATTAAGTGACCCCGTTAATTCGTAATTTATTGATTATACCTATCCAACGGGAACTGATACTTTCCTTTTAACATCAAAGAAATTCATTTTAGGTACTGCCCGATAACGCAATAACTGTCTGGCTTTATCGCTCTTTAACTGCTGTAGATCTAATGCGAAATTCTGTTATACTGTACGTACCACATTTACGTTACAGAGGAAAGTCAGTACACGAGAATAAAGCATGCCAAGATACATAGACGGATTAATATGTACTATTTTAAACATATATGTAAGCCTGTGGTCTATACATAATTAACCACCGACCCGTCCAAACTATGTGACCGAAATAAATGAAGCGGCTGTTCCAAACCGCTGAACAAGATTAGGATGGATTCTGTAGGTTTTAGAAGTGAAATATTATTTGCATGCAACACAGTATTAAAAGTAGTATCTCATACTAGAGTTCTTACCTTGAGTAATGTCAAGATCTTCTGTGACAGGTCGTAGTCAAAATTTTGATATTTGCTATCGGACATGTCATAGATGAAGACCAAACCATGCCTCTGGGTTTCTGCACTTTCCAAAGCAGCATCCAGTTGGTATACGACACCCTGTAAGGGATAAGTAGGACATTTAATTCATTGTTCCTAATAACAGTGACATTTGTATGAGCGTGTCATAATTCTTTCATTGTCTTCGTAACAAAGCCAAATTTTACTTTCTCTCCAACAGTCACTCTAAAGGGTTTCAATTTAGAACTGACATAATATCCAATATCCAGTGCTTATTATTCACCTGGAGGGTAGTTTGATGAGTGGTGTTTTGTGGGAGATGCAAATGAGCTGTAAAAATGGCAATGGCAGCGCCCGTGGCATCTCTTGAAGGCTAAAACAAAAATAAATAAATAAGCCAGCCAGTCACGAAGATCACTAGCCATCTCTATTTACTCTGGTATCTCATCGTAAAGGTACCTTTTCATTTTTCTCCTTAACTTTTAATTCTCTTCACCTCATTTCTCCAAGCACATGTGCTTCGCACTCACCAGAACTGTAAATTTTCCTGTACGCAGTTCATTCAATAGTGGCTGCCGATTTGGATAAAGCAATGCCAGACCCTCACGTCGTCTTGTAGCCTCGTGCTGCTCGTAGAGAGCCAATGCTCGAGATACCTCAAATTTCCTTGCTGCCAGGAACTTGACAGCAGTGCTCCAGGAGACGGGACCTGCTCGTCTGCCTGCACGGCATTTATTTACAGCCTCTATAAATTCCTTAGTCGCCTGATAACAGAAAACCAGATGATCGTAAGTCATTAAAATAATTAAGGGCAATAATCAGAACTGGGACAAAGTAATAATTATCCATTATTCTCATATTAATGCGTATATTAAAATACAGCGTTCTTTGATAATAAAACAAAAAATTTATTCTCTTCCAATAACACTAAATACTTACTACAGAATAACCATTGCGTAGATTGACACTGAACCTAACTAACTTCTGGTTAAAGTGTTTAATACATGTGGTAGCACAACACGTCGCGGAATCCATTATTATAATTTAATTGTTAGTATATTAATCGAACGTTATCACTAACTCTAATTTTTTTAAATCCTATTCCACAGTATGAGAAACAATAAAATAAAAGAAAAGCGAGCACACAAAGGTCTTATACAAATCACCCACAAACTAATAAAGACTTTTGAAAAGTTCAGTATACAGAATAATCAAACTTAAGTAACAATGGCTTGATTAAAAGTTTACCGGACCATTGCGAGCAGATTAACATAAATTTCCTGAAGACTGGATGAGTCATGACTTCCTAATGTGACACGATGTTACATCCCACTCCCAGGAAAGTCCATGTTTCTTACTGTATGTCCAAGAAAATAGGACAACAGCACAGTTTACCATTAAAAAAAGATATAAAAATATATAAGAAAGTCAGTAATGAATAAACTCAAATAATCTTCAATTACATTATTACCAAAATGGTCCCCAGTTTGAAGGAAACTAATATAAAAAAAAAATTTCTACGACTCCTGCCTATCCCCCATCCCTATCACACTCTGTACTCCCTACTACTTATAAAAAGGAACGTCCAATTACAGTTGCAAGTTCCGTTATCGGTCGTATGGAAGTCACTTTCGCACTTTCGAAAATTCAACTTGTCTGTCCGCTCGAACGATTTGCCGGTGGATGCCACAGCTACCAGCGTTATTTCCGGTCTTTCTGTCTGCCTCTCCCTTCCACTCTTCCACTGTAGTAGCCCACACCCTACTCCACCTCACCCCTTCACTTCCGGTAATCGGCACCATTGCTACTGGTGGATAGCTAAACACGGAGGATGCATCAGGGCCGCAGATTTTTAATACTAGTTACAAATCAAAATAGTTAAATACTTCTTTCAATTATCAAGGTTATAAGTATTTTAATTTAAATAAGTTGATCAACTTTTCACAAGTAAACAAAACATAGAATTTACATTTGTGATTAGCGCTAGGAGTATTTTTTTTTTTTTTTCAAATTGTATATCATACAAAGATCTAAAAGGAATTTTGCATAGGCGTCAATAAAAGACTTGTCAATCTGGTTACTTTCCTTTTTTTCCTGTTCTTCAGATGTATTTCGTAGCCCGTATTTCCGGTTTACAGGGCCGCACTTAGTATACCGAATGCCGTCAAATTGTAGAAAAACCATTCCCACAGGAAGTCATAATTAACTGGGTGTTTAACAAGACAAAACAATTTGTCATAGAACTATATCTACGTCGATGAAACATTAATCCAAATTTACATTGACGATATGAATTTTTATTTAATTTTAGATACGATCGATACATCAGTCTGGGATTTATATTCGGCATGTTTACTATAAAGAGTCAGTAGTCAGCTGGTAATCGTTAGTTATAATTTTAATATTATATAAACAATGATTTATAAAAAACAATAAAGAAGTATAATTAATTTTCCAGGAAAACAACGGTCACCCAAGTGATATTAGTCATGAGATGACATCTAACGTCCCGTGCGATGGTACAGCCGTGTGAAAATCATCAAAGGTTCATGAATTTCTCAAGAAAAAGATCAACTGTATCGTCAAAATGTTGAATCAACGTGTAAAATGGTAAGGATAGATTACCAAAAATGGACAAAGTCTAATGGGTTTTGGTAGATAATATGTAGTACCATTTCTGTCATCCACAGACAAACATTAGATTGTAGCGTCGTCGTTGTTAATTTCATATTGTAAAATCAGCGTATCCTTTTGGATATACTTTAGAATATTGTTAAGTGATTATCGGTGAACTGGATTAATGTATTGGAATGAATTTAAAGCTTACTTACTTGCTCTTGTTCCACTGTTAATGCGGCTGCCATCTTGCCTTAGCACTGAACACAATATTCTGGCCCGGCTGCTAGAAGGCGTGCGGAAACGTCTTCTTAACCACGACCACTTTGATTTTTATTAAATCGTAGAAACTTTACGATGTTAATTCTTTAAAAATTCAACGTACCAAATTCTGGTGTACATGGATAGTCACGATTACACGTTTCATTTCGCAACGACGCTCGACAACACTTTGGTTCCTTTGATCTGGCAGATTCGCCGCCATTTTCTTTCTTTACTTCTATATCCTGACATCTAGTTATAGACGGCTGGAACTAGTAGTTTCGCGACTTTGTGGGATCCTCGTGAGGAATAGAAGATTTACCGATAGCGATGGGCAAGTAGTGTAGGGACTTACTCTGTCGGTAAATGATAATTACCTTGTCCCACAATATCTGTTAATAAAGTAGGAAGATTATTTTTCGTGCCGCAAGTGGGGCTTTTCCGCTGATGTGTCAAAATTAAAGAAAAATACGAAATGCCAGCGCTCAACTTATTGGATTTGGATATTAATAAATTGTTCGAGGAACATACGATAAAGGAGATTGAAGAAATACAGAAAAAGATACAATATGAGAGTGATAGAAAGAAAGTCGAGCTCCGAACTTTGGTTGGGTTCGTGTTTTTTGATAATTACTAAATATTTTCAATAATCTAATCCCTCATTATTTATATAATTGTTATTGGTTCTTTTCATTTTAGAGAGCGCTATCGGGATTTGATACAAGCTGCAGATACAATAGCCGATATGAAGAGGACATCGGAGGATGTTATTACAAGAATTATAGACATGGAAGATACATGCCGTACGCTTCAACAAAAATACCTTATTGGTTTTAAAATGGATTCTGTGGAAAGCACATCCGAAAGGTGAGATTACCTTCAATGATAACGAGATGTTTTACATTAATCAATTTTCATTTCTTTGTTAGAGAGTCCTGGGAAATATCAGACTCGGTTGTAATGCAAATCAAAATTCTTATGGATATTCCTGAGCAAATTTGGTCTGCCATCGATGCACGAGACTTTTTATTAGCCACACAATTATATATGCTAGCCCAACATGTTAATTATAGCTTAACATTTGAAATTGGAAATAATGAATTGACTAATAAATATCCCATAATTGCTAAGCAATGGGGAGCAATCAGTCAATTCAAAAATGTGATATTAAATGGTTGTATTGATTTATTACAATCATTGGATTTATCTGCAGAGGTCAGTAACCCATTCTAAACACTTTAAACAAAAACTTTATTCAGTTGTCTTACATATAATTTACCTTTTTCTTAGTCAGCAGCTAACAGTTTGGCTTCCTTAGTACTCTTGGATGGCGCCTCTTCCTCCGCACTGATAGAAAAATTAATATCAATGAGAAGCAAAGCAATAGAAACCATAATCAAAGATGAGAGTCATCACAGTGTACGAAATCGAATAAAATTGTGTGTTAAATTATTAACACAAACCATCATTCTCATCCGTACCTGTTTCATAAGTAAGAATCATTGTAATAGTATATCACGTACCTTCACTAAAATTGTTCTCTTTATTTCAGAAGCCAATAATAAAGAAGGGGGTCTTGTAATGCAGTACATTAACTCAGTAACTGATCTTGATGCAGCCTTCATGTTCGCACAACTCGACCTGGACAAGGATTTAGTAAATAAATACCTGCCAACTATCACAAAGAATCACAAGCCCTTTACGAGGGGCGAAATCGAAGACTTCTCAATAACTACGCTTCACGAAAATTTGAAAACATGGCTCAGCTGGGTGAAAACATTTACCACGGTGGAAGTGTCCAAGCTATTGAACCTGGTGACCTCTGTTCGTGGGATCTTTAACATCCGCGAAGAAGCCCTGGCACTGGAGTTTCCAGATAACTGGAATACAACCTGGGAAGAATTATCTTTGCCCGTTACCAATTTCTGGGCACAATTCTTCCAACCTTTATTAACTGAACGTGCAAAAGGTAATTAAGAAATGTTAATTTAATTTAAAGACTGGATGCATATTTAAATATTCCACCATCCAGGAATAATGAACACCAAGTGGACAGAAGCATTAGCTAATCTTAAGACTAGCATCAAGGACCTACTGGGACGTATCATCCACGAGAAATACGACTTCCCCGAGCACGATCTTCGCTGGTTCGTCTGGAAAGATTCCCCGAATGATATTCCCCAGAAGTTATCCAAAAATGGCGCTCCTGATAGTAAAAGATCCTTACTTATGAAGACAAAAGGATACTCGCCAAACGTCGTACGTCTCTGCGACGATTTTGACAAGGATCTATTTAACCTACTTCTAGACCTAGAGCAGTATCTCTACGAGACAGATCGTACCAGTATTAAAGATGACCTCCTATCTATGAACATCTCCCTAGTCTCCAATAAATTTGCTGACAGATCAGTGCTTCAGGAAGAGCTTCAGAGGATCAGTACAGCAAAAATCGAGGAACTTACAAGTTTTGTACGCCAGGAATGCCTTCTGGACAAACCCAAGTTTGGACGTCGTGATACCAATGCCATCTTTATAGGAAGATTTCTTCAAGCACTCTGCACTCTCTGTCCCAATCTGAACAAGTGCTTCACGTTTTCAAAGGTAGCTGGACTGAGTATCACGAATGTCAAGTGGCAGAGCATTTGTGATATCCTTAAGGAACAGAGTATCGTAGCTTGGTCTTCCTGGGCGGATTCCTATAAAATCAAGATCTGCGAACATCGTGACAATCTGTTGAAGAAGGAACCTGTTGATGGTCTGAGAGTACATTCCATTATCTCAGAGTGGGAGAAAGTTACCATAGAGGAAGAAGCTGAAGAAGGGAAGAGAATGAAATCAGAAATTTTCGTACCTTATCAGCCATCTGTACCTTTGCAAAAATACCTCGCAGCAGTCAGCAAGGATTTGAATAGTGTTATACCACACACTATACCCAAGTATGTACAATTCTATTGTATAAACTTTCGTTCTGGTCTTATGGATGATATATAATCTTATATGCTTTAGGAAAGTTCTTACTGACATTGTGGATGCCATGGTAACAGGGCTCTTTGATTACTACGGAGAAATGTCGAAGAATAGTGATTTAAGGCAGAAACAGGCATTTCAGGTCTTTTTTGATCTGAAGTATATCAGTCTCTTGATGGTTCCGCGTGAGAATAAGATATTGATTGAAAATTCTGTTGAAGTATCCGATCATGTATTGTCAAAGATTGATCCTTTTGATCTTGACGTCTTTTATCCCTTCATTCAGACAAATGTTAAAAGGAGCGTTCAACGGACACTGGTACGAAATTAATATAAATGTAGAACATTTTATAAAATTTACATTATCTAATTTCTAATGTTAATTTTATTTCAGCTTATTTTTGGAAGTCTTGTACCACATTCAGAACAATTACACTCTATATTGGGAGCACGAATGGAGTATAGTTCAGAAGGTGGAAAATCTGTAACAGAACCTGCAGGAGTCTTAGCAGTTTGTACCGGAGCACCCTGGTTTCCATCACTGGCAGTGACTGCTCCAGCAAGAAATTTACCATTGGCCCCGGTGACAATACCAGATAAGAATCAGGTAATACAAAAGTAATATTCTTGTAAAATATTTAGGTTTCCCATAAAAGTGAAAATTAGGGCTGAGAATTTTTCTCAATACTCCCTGTATATTCATAGATACGTGATTGCAACTGGTATATTCGATTAATATGAATTTGGTAAGAAATGAAATGTTTTGAGTTGACTGCTAGTTTAAAAAGAGAATAACTGCATGCATAGCCATGTGTTCATATTTTAATGTATTCTATTGAAAATTAACTGTGAAATTGCCTTTGAGAGTGTTTAATGAGTGGTTGTTTATTATATTTAGAGCTAATGCAATTTGTTTATCTAGCGTAAGAAGACTACACTTAAGAGCCACAACAGAAATGATTCTACAGGAGCTACAATAAAATCTGGAGCAGCAGCATTCTTTGGAGCTATGGGAACTGATTGGTTTGGCACCAGTTAACCAGTGTACAAGTATTTTATCACCTGTAAATAAAAAATTGATAATTTTCAGATAGTCATTCGATCCAAATAATCAATCTAGACTATTTTAGTATTACTTATAATGACTAATAAGATCCAGCAGGCTTATGGGACACTCTCTGTAATGATATTTACAGTCAGTCGTAGACTCAGCTTCAGATATTTCACAAGGTAGCCCTTCGTCTCTGGATGAAGATGGTCTGTAACAGTAAGTCATTGTGTAATGACGTGAAGAATTATTAATAGATTGTAGAAGAACGAGCCTCACGTGAAAAGTATGTGAAGAAGATCGCCCACAAGGCCATTTCCAGTTATTTGGCTTTCGGCAACTTCACATATAGTTCTTAGTAGGCAAATTCTTCCTGGAAATCCTGCACTAAAAAGACAATTCAGTTAACGAATCAAAAGAAAGATGAACATGTATTGTCTAATCAATGAATTACCTTGCAAATTTACTTTCCAAAATTTCATACGCAAGTGTTCTGTCTAGACTTCTTTTTTCAAAATATTCACTGGAATTTTTCTTGTTTGGTAATGGATAATTCGCTTCGAAGTAAAATGAAAATGACACAGATTTGTCTGGTACGTCGACTGGAACACCAATGGCAAAGAATACCTGAAACAAAATATGTATAAAGATAATTATATTTTTCTTTCACGTAAGCATCCATGACATGCAATTGAGAATCTTTTACTTTTTGGCTTGCCATTTCATCAGACTCCCAACAAACAATATCACCAGTGCGAACAATTGTAAATCTTTCTACACTTGTTTATCGACAGTTTGAAAAGTCTAACACAAGTAATTATATATTTATTAATTTTACCCCCATTCCGCTGCCTTCAGGAAATCCAAGTGATCGAATATGTCTGCTTAAATCCAGAGTTAAGTTTTTCACATTAGCAGCGTAATTAAAACGTGCGAATGGGATGCAAATGAAAATGTAAAATAGGAACTTGAGAGATCTTAGTTGTGCCATTATTGCAATTACTGCAGTTCAATTGAATTATAATTTTGCGATGCCTTAGCACAATTCATTTAGTAAGTCCACGTATATTACAGGCAACTACTTATTGTTCGTATTGCTGTTACTAAATGGCACTGCGGTCTCACATCCCTACAATTTTTACGTTGCACCCCAAAGGCGAGAAGTTCATTACACGACTAATTGTTCTAATGAGAACTAATTAACAAGATGACTCCCTATTTACAACATGTACAACATGTACCATGACCTTTCAGAATTACTGTACACGGAAACCATCATTTTGTCAGTACATACAAATGAAGTTCTCGAACTTAAAGTTCCGTTTCACAGTAGATATATGTATAATTCAAAATTATCCCGCTGTGCCATGCACATGCACTTTCAGAATACCCACTCTCAGCTCATTGTGCTCCGGTTTCTTTGATAAAATCGACAAATTGCTACGACAGTTCTTGAACGTACTTATCATTCGTACCCGAATGATATGACTATTTAGTATATTGTTGGGAACAGAATAAAGGAATGGAACCGACACAATGACAAGATTGAATTTCTTCATAACTGTATGTTACATTATCATATTAAACACAATATTATCAATCAATCAGCAATAATATAATAATTCATCGTAATTCATAATTGATAATAATAAAGGCTACCTACAAAGTATGAAATCGCTCGAAAACGATCACTCTCACACACACATTTCCTTTTTCTCTCATTCATTCCACTTTTATTCTTGATTTTGTCATTTACTCTCTCTCTCTCTCTCTCTCTCTCTCTTTTTTTTGTTCCACTCTCTTTTCTTTCTCATCTGGACTGTACAGGTTTTACAATATTACAAATATCCGCTTATGCATTAAAGTTTTAACACTAGTCGTTAGCTTTTTCTTTTATTATTACAAGATAGAACTCGTTTACAAGGGCATCACGGACACGTAGGGACCGCCAATCCTCTTATCCTTTGAGAATTCAGAGCAATAAAAATAAGAAAATCGAAGTTCATCACCCAACCATATTTTACTGAATTCAGAAGAAAGAGAGAACCATCGTTTATACAGCTCAGATGACAACTTCTCAAAGGATAAGGATTCGCGTGTATTTTCTCAAAGTTATAAAGGCACTGTACAGAGTAAACATACATAAAGTATAGCGCAGCGAGCGGTCCTGTTAAAGTTATTAGTTTAAACAGTAAAACTTTGCCTGTTTGAAAATATCCATTCGTCATAATCATAAATGATCGACATCGTTACATTTTTTTTTCTTTCTTTCCAGTATCTCCCACGTCCTCTCTTTTACTCACGTCGTTTATTTAAAAACGTCTAGATACGCATAAAATAGTGAGTCGCGCTTTTCATTTGCTTTGCTCGATGAAAAAGAAGAAAAACCCGACTGACTTCCCGTTTCTCTGATACCATTTTCTTTGTTGCTTATATTGTTCCTCCGTACGAAAAGAAAAACTGCTCGACCAAGAATCACAATAAAACAGAGAGGAAACTCAGCCGGGAATTATACGTAAGGGAAAGACGCTCTCCCTTATTAAAGGTGGGATTCGTGTATCCGTGTATCACAATTTGGCAGTGAACGTTACTCACGTCTAAAATACAGCATATAAGTTTCATTACATTGTTTTCGCGTTGCATCCATTGTTTCTGTTCTCTATTTCTCTCCCTCTCTCTTACTCTCTCAATATTCTCGTTTGTTTCTTTGTTTCCCTTAACGGCTAAGCGTCCTAACGTCTTGCTACTCGACTTGACAGTTACAATAGAAAAACGCCCATGGTTCGTTGGCGGTATTTTTGAAAATATGTTTTTCTCCTTCTTCCTAATCGAATTCCTATTTCACTCTTCGCATACGGGGCACACGTGTACTTAAAATCGACAATCTCGTATTCTGGTAAACATACATATTTAGCTTTTCGGTTTTCTTTACAATTATGAAAAATGTCCTATGAGAAGTTCTTGTGCACCGTCTAACGAAAATATCTGTGCATCGCGATAGCTAGTACTTTTTTTTTTGTCTTTTCTAAAGTGATGAGGTGTTTTGCGTTTTGTGTATCTAATGGTACTTAATAATTATCGTTAAACTTATAAATTACTGTTACTATTATTGCGTCGCGCAAGGACGCTTATGAATTTTAATCCTCAATATTTTTCTTAGTCTCACGTTAATTTCTCCTTCGCGCGCACTTAATTATCGTAGTGGTATCACGACGGCGTATCAAAATACAGAATTTCTCGTTCAAACGGTAACGCGACAAAAATTTCACGAGGAGGCGTATTCGCTTTCCTTTTTTACAAATATTGTAGCTTCGTGTCAAACGCAAGAGAAATTTACATTGATTTTCTCGATAGAAAAAAAAAACTTATAACACAAGATCGATCCAGACAGACATTGACACGTATTCCAGAGTACAAATTGGAGACAAGTTTGTAAAATTAGAAACAATTTAATTCATATAAAGAATAACGAAAGTACACGACAACGAGAAACCGCGAAATAATTCAAAGACAAATAAACGAGAGTCGGTAAATAGAAACATCCACCTATTTTCATAATGAAACTTCTAAGTTTAATCAGTGAATCGGCTGGTTCGCATGCATCTTCCTCTATGAGAGATAGATAGAGAGAGAAAGAGAGAAAAGAGAAAAAGTAACAACAGCGTTATAAAAGAATTTTGACAGCATCGCTCGTAGAGCATCTCTAATTATTTTAACTTTTCATCTTTACGTTAAATGAACCGCTAACTAATTAATTGCGAACGAACCGCTTCGCCTTTTCAATTAATTAAAAATGACCTACTCAAAGCTCTCAAGCTTTTTAATCAACTTCCACGTGTCCTACATTCATTTATTGTTTATATTAAATATATTCGTGTATGTATATATAATTATATATATATAATTTATTAATCGAAGTTGTCAAATCAGTTCCGGAATAATTGGCAGGGCCACTGGACGTCCAAGTACATTGGTACTTCCGTCCATAAGACACTCTGTCAAATATCGTGTGTTGAGATCATATTTGCGTGCGTCGATTAAAAAAGTATTTATGAATTACACAGGCCTTCCTGGTTATCCAGATAACTTCTTTACCGAGTTTACAATTGTTTTATCTTCTCCGCTCGTTCTCAACGTAATCAGGTATTTTCTTTTATCAGGTATAGAACAATCAGGATAACCACAGAGACTGGTCACATACGGTGATTGTAAATTACATTATGTAGAAATATATAGTGTGTGCATGTTTTCTTATCAGATATATTTAGAGGGAGGGACGTGGAGGGGGGAGGGAGGGTCGTTATTCTCTCACTCTGTATAATTTATGCATGTAGGTATAAAAGAGATAGATGACTCGTCGTAGAAGAGAGAAAGAGAAAAAAAGATTCAAAAGAAAATTTAACAGGTATTTATACTTTAAGGCCTCCTTCTATCCACAGTGTCTAATTCTGTTTGTTTTTTTGGCTTTTCGTTATTCTTTTCTTCTCTCTCTCTCTCTCTCTTTCTCTTTCTGTGATTTTATGTTTAAATTTTGCAAAAAGATTAAGGACGAGATTTCCCTTCTCGAATTTAGTTCGTTCCGAGTTTGTATTTTTTTTTGTTATTCTTTCACATCGGCTTTGTCACTTCAATCAATCACGATTCCCAATTTGTTATTTCGATTCTACTCTAGCTGACTTCCGAACTACAGATGTTCTCTTTAAGATATATATCGGCGAAGACATTTGCTTTTACGCTTTGTCTTTTCTTTTGCGAAGTCGCAGTGCTTGCTTAAGTTGTAAAAATCTAGACGCGTCCCTACAATGTCATACACAATTGTTCTTAATTGGTATTAATTGATTGCCCTTACTTTCCCTTAAAAAATTTGATAATAAAACCGGTCAGCCTACGTCCGCGGATTTTATATACAGATTTTCACGTATCCCGAGTGCGGGGTGTACAGATTCACCACCACGCGAATTCATTATTTATTTATAAGATTTGCCTTTCTTCATTTATAAATATCGTCAACCGTCCACACGCGCCGTTACTAACAAATGTACAATCTCTAGTTAATCTTTGTCACATCCCGTTGAGCAGCTGTTGCAATTTAATCGCGACAAAGTCGTTAACCGCGCATTTTTTTTTTAATTAAATTAATTTAACATTATCTATTAACGCGCTCCGATTTAATTACAACGTGTTTCTACAGCTTTTCATTGACATTCCTATACTTTATTTGCAACGCGTTTGGCAGTGAAGGTTCCTCGCGATTAACCGTCCCGGGGATTAAGAGATCTCCGTTACCCAAGGACGAGAAAAATGAACCGAGAGATAGAAATTGACTGTACAAGAATTACCAGATATATATATATATATAAAAAAAAAAGAATATATAATTAATTTTTATCTCACCGATCCTTTTTCTAGAGTGAATTAAACTAATATACCCTTTGTACAAATGTGCTAACTACGCTTCTCTGGACAATAGTGTGGAATTCTATGGTGACTCACGAGAGTTAGTAGCAAGTTTGCCCGGCTAACTGATGCTCATTAACTGACTGACTGATGTGATAGGGTCACTTGAAGTGACAATGAGAAATTGCACATGCGCAGACAGGCAGATCAAAGGAGAATCGGCAGTCTTGATGGTCGCCTACAGTTTCGAATTTTCATTTATAGAAAATTACAAGCTCCGCCAGGAACACTCCAGGAGAATACAGTCTCTTGCATTAGTTCCTAGAGATTTCACTAAGGCACCCTTGACCAGACACTTTCCTTAAGGGAGGCAAACTTCATCGTAACGTTCCCAGATAGTCCAGATATCGGTGCTGCATGTAACCTCAAGAGGATTGACTCGTCTGAGCTGTCAAGGACGTGGCACTTAAGGATGGATGCAGAGTGAAACTGTCGTAGACGTCCATCAGGTCCCGCATTCTGTACTCCTCGAGGCAAACGAAACCCTCTAGCGATGGTGCCTGCTTCCTTGCACAGTCCATACAATGGACCACGTGTCTCTTCTCTTGTTCCCGTATGAATAATATATTGAAGACTTCAATCTGTAAGGAAAATTGTAATGTCGACTGGTTAAACCATCCACGGGGATAGATCGGTCAGGTGATATACTCAATTAATGGAAACTTACCTCGCACTGGCCGCAATAATGAGAGGCTTCGTTTTTACCTCTACCATGGAACCTTACCTCTACCCCTTTACTCTTGACGAACTCCAGGATTAAACAGCACTGCCTCATAGTTCTTAACAGGCAGTTCTTTATCAGCTCGAATAACCTGGGGTCAGAAACTTTAATGTTCCTGGCAAGATTCCACGAGAGATGAACCATAGGTACGATGGACTTAAAGGACTGCAATTTATTCCATTCGTAACGCTCGATTGCTAGTTGATATTGGCGGGCAGTGAGGGGACCGACGTTCCAGGCGATGTTGTTGCACCAGCCTACTGCCTGCACCCAATGAACGCAGCCTGCATGGATAAAGACGCATGAGGAATTCGTTTCAAATAACGTAACTGTAAATTAACAGAGGAAGACTTACCGGCGTTCACCCACACTAGATCACCAGGTCTCTGAAGAAACCTATAGACGGGAATGTTCTCTTCGTAGAGATCTTCCAAGGATGGCCACCAACTTCCGTGCAGATAATTAATATTATTGCGCTCGCATAAAGCGCATATTACACCCCAATACGCATCAGGTACGGCAAACCACTCGCAATCCCCGGGACCGATGTTAATGTTAATCGAGCAGAAGTTATTGTTCTCCTGATGGCCAGGAGTTCGGCTACCAGGAACCTGGAGAATAAAGATTTAAATTAGATAAAAAGGTGAATACAATCTATGAGATTGTAGACCTTGAATTACCTTCATATAAAGTTGGACGGTATTCATTCCCAGTATAACGTGCCCCACGTGACTCAACATATTCCCAGCGGAAACAACCCTGGCGAAGGCCGGTAATTTCATTAATTCCTGCAGCTGCGACCGCCATTTCCTCTCGTCGGATAGATCGACGTTAGTACCGAAACGCAACATCTTTGAACCCGGTCGTCCCATCAAACCAAAACTATTTTTCTTTCTCCGCACAACACCCGTGCTGTCCTTTGAGTCCGAATCCGATAGATTCGCTGTATGGACACCCTGAGACTTTTCTCGTTCCTCTTTAAGGCTTTCTTGAAAACTGGATGCCTGGTACTGAGCGTACTTGGCGATGGTTGTGTGACTTCTGTGACTTATGCATCCCCAGACTTTACGACCCATCATGGGATCCCAGTTCTCATCGCTGGTTTGCTGCATCTGAGTTCGAACTTCGATACCGTGGTCAGGATTGGCTTCGACGAGGGTCTTCGTCGAGAAGAGACCCAAGTCCAGCTTGAGCGCCGCTGCCATACCACGTATCACCGCTATAGGATGCTTCAGACAAAATTCCTGAAGCTGTGGACTAAAAGCGTCCTTCTTGTTCTCCAGGTAGACACTAGGTGTAGGTGGTAGCAATTGTTCCTTCGTCAATCTTTGATTTGGTGGATCCGGTGGGGCTGGAGGTGGTGATCGGTCGCTCAGTATTGAACAATTTGGCACTCCCTTGAGACCCTGTCCCTTGCAATTCTCGATGATGCTCTTCGAGTCCATCTCGATACTGAGTTCCTGTTCTGGTTGGGACTCGCAGAGACTCTCGAGTTTGAGCACGGGTTCGAAACGTAAAACTGAATCGGTTTTAATCGTACTCGAGGTGGCTTCGCACTTGACGGTCTCCACTGAAATCGTAGGCTTGAGGTCCACCTTCTTCTGCGAGGCAGACTCCGTCTTATTAGCCGTCGACGGTATCGACTGCGTATCGTCTATCTTCTCCACTTTGACCTCCTTAATCTTATCACTGCTATCTTCAAGGTTAGACGGCGAAAAAGGACCAGAGCTCAGGGTGCCGTTGTTCGTAATAGCCGACGACTCGTCCTTAACGTCCAAGTCCTCCGAGCCAAAATGCTTAAGCAGGTCCTCCGCAAGGGACGTCGCGATATCCTTCTGCGAGAGGAGTGCCTGCAGTTCCTGATCCGTAACGCCCAGATCCTTATTTCCCGATGATCCCTCGGGATAGCTATTCGTCGTGGAGGATATCTGTGTATATCCTTGAGCCCCGTATTGATTCGACTGGTACTGATTATATTGAGATCCTGGTTGTCTTTGAGGATAGTTTGGATCCGCAGCTGATTTGTACGGCATTCCTGGTGATTGCTGAGTATTTCCAGTTGCTGCAGCATTGTAGCCAACATTGGAATCCGCAAATCCAGTTTGAAGAGCTACGGTTCCCCCTTGCTGTAGAGTAAGATGAATAGATTAAAAAAAAAAAAAATACCATAGGAATCGCAGAATCGGTGAAAGAAAAAGGACAACTCACCGGTTGCTGAGGAATTCCATAATTTTTTATAACACTCGGTTGCCCTGGTTGCGAATGCGCATAACCCGTAGGATAACCAGGCTGTCCAGGCCTAAGACCCCTCTGTGCCGCCTGCTGCTGCTGTAACCTAACTTGTTGTTGATGCTGTTGCATAGATCTGTACTGATGTTGCAATTGAGCTAACAAGCCCTGTTGCTGTGGCGTCAGGCTACCATGATTCTGTTGTAGAAACTGCAACATTTGTAACTGTTGCGGCGACAAATAGAACGGCGGTGGCCTTTGTTGTTGTTGCGCACCAGGGGATATGGGTTCCTCTCCCGGCTGTTGTTCATCGCCAAAAACAAAGGTACAGCGTGTGATTAACATCAACGATGAAACTCAATTATGACATTCGTACACTGACTGAAGACAGACTTACCTTGAATCTCTTTGTGTTTAAATTTTGACCCTGTCCTTGCGGATAAGGAGGTGGTGGACCAGCAGGTGCAGCTGTATACTTATATCCTGGTCCACCGGGAGGTTGTTGCTGTTGTTGCTGTCTACTAGACATCTCTGCACTGATCGGCAGATTCCAGGCCTCTTCTATAGACGGCAACTGCCGCCTCCTTAATTGAACAACAGATTTTCATTTAGTCACGTTAACTGGGCGTTATCGCTGATAAGAAATTCCCCACTATACAAAAGGAATTCATATTCTCAATTCAAAACACAATATATATATATATATGTGTATTTGCAACAATAATAAGACTCTCTCTCTCTCTCTTTCTCTCTCTCTTTCTCTCTCTCTTTCTTTCTCTCTTTCTTTCTTCACTTACTTTGTAGCTATCGAAGGCATCGGTGCTTGGCTTAGATGGCTCTGAAGAAAATTAATTCGCTGCTGAAGGGATGGGTTCATCGGTGCGTTTCCACCCGACTTGGCACCACCCAGACCGGTCAGCGACCCCGTACAACTAGGTGTGTTGTTGTTGCCCCTGAGAACAAAAAGATAAACGACCAACCCGCATAAGAATTTAATTACATGATCGGGAAACCAGGTGAGCTTTTATAAGACTCATAGGATAGCCTGGTCTGTGACTTACGCAAAGGTCACTTTATGAAGACCATGATGCCATAGGTAGATAGAACATTACTATGGATCATAAAAGGGATACAAATTATTCTTCACTTACGTATCATACTTTTATCCAGGACGCGTCCAACGATGCTGAGGTGCTTAAGAGATCCTCAGAGATCCTTATTTTAATAGTAAATACGTTAATCAATTTACCTGGATGCGTTGACGTAACAGGCAAGAGCATCCTTCGGCTGGCTCACGCTCTCGTACAAGATACCAAGATTGGTCCAGGCGGCAGAATGCGATTTATCCAATTGTACGGCACATATGTAAGCTTGGAGTGCGTCCATAGGCTGATTTTGTTGTTGATATAGTACACCTATGCTGCACCAGGTATCGGCGTTGCCTTCTGATTTTTCCACAGAGTTTCTACAAACACGTAAACCAATTAATGACAAGTTCCTATTTTTTTTTTTTAATTACACAATAATTGTTTTTTTTTTCTACAATTTTCTCTCACCTATAAGCAATGAAGGCATCGTGAACCTTTCCAGATGCTGCTAAACAGCGTCCCAATAAGTATAGACTCTGTCCACTCTTTGGCTCAGCTTCGATGGACTTTTGTAAACAGTGTATGGCTATTACTTGTTTCTGCTGTCTCGTTACACCCAAATCAGCATAGTCAACAACATGGTACATCCATCCTGTATTGGAGAAACAGAAAGCAAAGATATCTTCATGAAACAAATATACTCTTGATTCTTATTATAATTCTTGAAACCTCAAATCACAACCGATACATACATTTCTAGTTTAACCGAGAGAAAATATAACGTGTCTCATAGTATAAGAGTACTGGCCAATTCTGAGAGTGAGTTCTGAAACTATCAAGAGGCTCGGGAAACGTGTTGCACCCTAATAGACGAGTGTCGAACTGAATAGATTTTTGCAGGTATGCCCTTACGGTTGCCACTTTCACCCCACTCCTTGGGACCACTGTCTCGAATTACAACCCCTATAAACATAGGCGTAGAAATGCCGACGTTCTTCGTGAATCTTCATCCGCCATCCGAGGGTCAGAAAATACTTTAAAGCGGCTAATAAAATGTTTTGGATGGGAACTATTCGATAGGATTAATAACTTTCTTGAAGGAAAATTTTTTAAAAATTTGAAAATGCGCAAAATAAATGAATTTTACAGATATTGCTCTCAGAGCTGGAGAGAGGTGCTCCCTTTGTACTGACTACACCTGACGAAGGTCCCGGTTATTGTCGACCCGGACAGGGTTCAGTAGTTCAGAACCGATGCTGCGGACCATAGTGAGCCATAGTGATTCAGGAACACCTGGCCCAGTTGCCGGGGCCTTAGTGAGCCAGGCCAATAGCAAGCACGTCAAATACGTAGGAGAAAGTCCCACTTGGAGAAGATTCAAGGCTTGTAGAAGAAAAAGTAAATGGCCGTCCTGAAAAGCCAGCTAGGAAGGTTCAAAGGACTGTGAACGGGACTGTAGTATCCTCCTCGTAGATTCTTGAACGCGAACCCCAGTGAAAATTGTATTTTCTCTGTGACCTACGTAGAGAATATTAAAAGGAGGCCGGATTCTCTGTTGAGAGTCCATTCCTTAAATACTCTTCATAGTCTTCAGGATCCCTTGTACTCCTGGCTGCTTCCCCGAATGGAGCTCATTCGTTCACCCTCTGTGCTTTATCTTCTAGACTTGGGACTAGCGTCGTGGACTTATCTCAGAATTTTCCTCAGAATAGATCAGCAGTCTCTGGATGAACGGTTAACGAACAGGGACTCGTGTATTCTACCCTCATCCTGTTCCTACGTCTCTGAGGAGCAACACAATTGATGCTGACGACAACAAAGGCAGAAAGTGAGAGGAAAAAAATGAATACATCGAAAGAGCCATCAAAAGAAAGCTACAAAAATTTAGAAAGAAAGGTACAATTTCAAAAAAATTAAATCCCATTAAAGAAACAACTTTAAAAAAAACCAATTAACAGGTACCAAAACTGACTGATGATTTGCGAAAAATTTGTGAAAACACTTTATCCCTCAGAAATTGATCCCCCGGCTGATGAGAGTTCCACCCTAGGCCCAATAAACATGGCGTGAATAACTGCATAAAAGCGGAGGTCATTGGCGCTCGACACAAGGGTAGCTTTTAAGGACGCAACAGAGTGGTGCACCATCTGCCGGCTACTAATACAAATAAAGAACACAGTGGTGGTGGTAACGGTGTCAGCGTTTGGCAGTGTAGCGATGGCGATGGCGACGTTGATGGTAGGGATGGTTCCCACAATCTCGTTGGTCATATCCTTTTCCATACACATTCAATCCAGGCACAGCCACGAACCTTTACACCCACAGTGACGTTACAAGTTTAGTATTGCGTATACGTACATCCATTGCCAAGGCCCTGACAGGGAGCCTGGTCCCGTCCGGGGCCACCCCCGACCCAGAATAAATCAATACACGCGTCTGCTACTTGGTGTACCAACCGAACTTCAAGCCTAGCGTGAAATATATTGCCAAAACCTTCACAAACTGGATAGACTCTTTAAAATCCAAAAAGGAAAAATAGAATGGCAGAAAATAGTGTGGGGGGGTTTATAACAAAGTGAATTTCGGTTTCGCCGTAACTTCCTTCGAGATAAAGTAGATTTCTTTTTGCGTCGGTAAGTTACCGACCGCGCTCTAACGAACGTCATGGGGGAAAAAACATGGCCGCCCTGACAACGGTCGAACCAGGTGGTGTCTTCGTTTGACAATGAGAGACAAGCGTTGTATAACTTCCAATGACAATCCAATGTCTGATTAACGTCCTTCGCTCCTGGCAAATGAGGGATTAGTTACTTAGACTCACCTAACTGTCTGCAGATGTCCGCCTTTAGATGAGACGGTAAGGACTTCTCCTTCAGTAGAGACTCGTAGTGGTCCTTTGCCAAACGATACTTTCCTTGGACCTCGTACAGGTGAGCTACGTGAAACTTGACTGGAAGAAAAAAATTCAAAAGACACTGAATGAGAAATCACGTGGAATCAAACGGAAGACTATTAGGTACGAGGGAGGCCATTTTATGCTGTGCGGATTAGATTTCAGAGTGAAGACTATGGGAAGCTTCATATATCGGATAAAAGGGTATGGACAAGAATTTTTTAAATTTCAGACAAATACATTATAATTGCTTACACAGTTAGTTGCTGTGTTTCTTGATTAATAAACAGTGATATTACGTGTATCAGAAATAAAACAGGATATGTATACTGAGAGGATCCAATGGTGACTGAAGAATTTGTTCAGTTTACATGATCTTTTATTTCAACGAGAACCAGTATGACTCGTAATCTTCCTAGTACAGCAATCTGAATGGACCAGCGGATCAAAATGGGACTTAATCACCCAGTAGTGATATCATCCAGTTGTCGGATACGCATGGAGAGCCACTAAAATCAGGGAAGTCCCATGCACATGTATTTCTTACTAACCATAAGCTTTTACGTACGTAAGGACCGAGAGTTTTTGAAGAATGAGAAGAAAATCTTGAGCCCTATACTTTCTGAGACACAAAAGGAGCTTTCACACACGTGACGAGAAAATGGCTGCGATATTCTTTGTGTATAATTTCAAGTTCAGGGAATAGAGAATTCAAAAAAAAAAAAAAAGGAAATACAGATGCTGTTGCCATTACAGCTGAATGGAGGTATCGACCACTTGGTTAAACAATACACAAGGGAGAATGGATGGAAGACCTCTTCGACGTGACATCCGGCTTAACAGTGTATGAAATTCACGAGTCTGCACTTCCCGTTACTGAGCACTTAAGGAAAAAAAAAATGCATATCAGCCAAGTCACTGATGACCTCACGAATCACAGCTGCAACTTAACCTCGGATAATGCAAACTAGAAAATTCAGTACCGGTATATGGGTATTCCACTGAGGGTAACAGATACAAATTGAAAGACCCTTCTGTGACTTGTACCATAAACAACAGTTTCTGGTATTTCCAGCCTTGGGCCCTATATTTAACTTTTGAACGTGAATTTCAGTATGGCTTCGCGGAACATTCAAAAGTTCCCGCTCTCTGAGTTTATCCTGAAAGATACCCCAGTGAGCGTATAAAGCAGCTTTCTCACGGGGCCCTTTATCCCCATGAAGGCCCAAAGCAAGTTAAACCGCGAAATGATTCTCTGTAGTGCCTGTAATTGGCATAATCGCAATACTAAACTCCACTTATATTTGTTTTCTTTCAACAGAAAAACTTATTACCCTGTAACCAGCATAGAACAGCCTATAAAACGAATGGTCATTATTTAAACCCAAGAGACCAGAAGCGTGGAGTGTCCAAGGCAGCCCAACTGGATATTTTGAAAACGAAGAAAAAAAGCGTGCGACCATTCCCAGGTTAACGATCAAAGCCACAAAGCCACAAAACCTACTCTCAAGCTTCGTGAAAGACGCCGGCGTCGTGGCGTCGATGAGGGCTAAGGTGAGATGCTTGAGGGCAGCGTCGAAATCAGCGTGGACTTTTAGCATCAAACCAAGTCGCAGGTGAACCTCGCATGCTCGTGGAAATCCGGGCTCGACCCATAGCACCTGCTGGAATGCTTTTACAGCCCTGAAACCCAAAGACAAGAAAAATGATTACCAAGAAACTAAAGCAAATGAAAAAAAAAAAAAAAAAAAAAAAAAAAAAAAAAAAAAAAAAAAAAAAAAAAAAAAAAAAAAAAAAACACAGTTCAATCAATAATTTCGAAATATTAAAATTTCCAAATTAAATTATCATCCCAACAACCCTCGCTATACCCTAACACCACGTCACACGCATAATAACCAAGTGATCCAAATGATTCACAAACGTGAATTCCTGTCGATCCTCATCCTACTCCACCATAGCAATGATTAAATCATTCATGGAACTGCGGTTAGCAGCGCATAACGTTTCCTGTAATGCCGAGTCATAGTATAAAGTAAAAAAGCGTCCATGCCCCCGTCGCCACGAAAATTCGTCCTAGACCGCGAAGAAAAGTGAACGGATAAAATTCTCCCTGCACATAATCGATCCGCTGCAATATTTCCCAAGCAAGCAGCGCGCACTGAAGTCGTCAAGCTTTATTTTGGTTTTCGATTTTGGAACCGGTCCAAACATCTGAATCACTGTGTTGGGTAACGCGGGTATCGGCGTGGCTCTGTTTAAAAGATAGGCGACGTATACCCGGACCTCACGCGTACTTAGATAAATCCTCGCAAGAGCCACGCGTGTAACGTACTTCCGAGTGAGGGTATGAGTGTGTGACACAGTTTCGTGGCATCGCTGACCCACATCGTTCGAAACGATTAGGAAAGCCATGACGTAACGACGGCAACGTGGGCGGACGAATAACCAGATATAAACAGAGACAACGTTCGAGACTTCCGGTAAATTCCACATTCTGACAGCTCGCGAACGTCAATTTTTTTTTCGAAACGTCAAGAATCCAAGTTTCGGTAATCGGTGTCGGGAAAAAAAATTTTTCTCGTCAGACCTGGCGGGAAAATTTAAATCAAGTCTAGCATGGGCTTTTACGAATGACTCAGACTCCGCGTATCCTGGGGTGTCATTGACTCGTTGCGAAATATTTCCATGTATCAGTCATTGACTATTCGCACTGTCATCGCGCACAGTGAGATGATAAATACCGAATTCAATGAGACCCACGGAAGAAAGGCCCAATTACGGTGAAATTGAAGTCGACTATTTTAATTCTTTTTTTTTTCGCCTTACTTACGTACACTGTACCGCGTGTGTTTACGGTTCCTGACCCCGTTTACGGTGACGCGACCGACGACGATAAAATAATCGCACGCGGTTTAAAGGCTACCGTCACTTCCGGCGCGGAGTCCGACCAGACTAATCGGCAAGCGCGTTGCATCTTGGGTACGCGGAAATATAATTCGATTGGCAATATGACCAGTGGGGGGGATGTGAAAACACATATCTTGCTCAAAAAAGTATGTTACGAGGGAGCGATAAATTTTTTAGGTTAAAAATAAAAAATTCCGATACGTCAGATTGATCTGAAAAAAATGTATATATGAAAGTTGCACAGAGACAAAAAGCATTGCGTGAACGTCATGCTCGTGGATTTCCATTAAAATGCACCCTTCTCTCGACACCTCATAAATTAATGGTCGTATTAGGGTATCAGCGTGCGATAAAAGGCCCAAAGATAGGCGCCCGATGTAAAAGGGCTCCTTGCTCAGGAAAAGGTTAAACTAAACGGTTACGTTTTGCCCCTCCCCCCATTTTATTACTTCCTTAGGGCACTGGCCTTGCGTCGCCGCGACTGCGCAGTGCGTTATCTGAGATAGTCTTACTCTTTTTTTTTCTAACCTTTGACCCAATAGGATTCGTAATGAAAGAAAGAAAAAAATTAATAAATTACCGGTCCAATAAAATTTTTTGCGATATTACCTGTTTGGTAAAAAAAAAAAAAAAAAAAAAAAA